GGATTAATTAAGTGTCATTTCCTATATAAACTCATCATTTACAGTTTACTTAACTGTTAGTTAAAACCCACGATTCTTAACTTCAGAACAAAATAATTTGAATCACTTTCGATTATTTTCACGAATTTTGTTAATAATAAATTTGTTATTGTTTTTTAATACGAAATTTCATTTCTTTTAATTTTTTTTTTGAATATTAATGCTTCAGAAATGACACAACAAAATTTTTTACAAATCCGGTAACAAAAATTTACTAAATTATACATTCTCAACAGACAAAATAAATTAATAATTCTCGATCAGATAATTTTTATAACGGTAAGAACTGTTAGCTTTAATATCTCAACAACAAAAAAAAGTGAAAAAAACCTATTGTGAAATATGTTTTACTTTCAGTTATACGCAGAAAAAAATCTCCAAAAAAAATACAATCTTTTAAATACTCTAAAATGGTTCAGAATAAACGTTATAGCCAAATTTGTAGCTGTCAATGTCAGACCTGAGACGGACCTGTTTCGTTTCTGTTTCTTTAATTACACGGACAGACGACGACCGTTTTTATTGCACGATCATTAGCTGCCACTCACTCGCCACCCACGGAAGATTTGGCTAAAATGTGTCACAAAACAACAACAACAACAACAACAACAACAACAACAAAAAGCACAACCAACACAAAAACAAAAATAAAAGCAAAAAACATTCATTAACTGCCAACAAAATTATTCACATGCTTTTGGTTTTGTTTTTGTTTTTGATTTAATTTTATGTTGCTTTTTTCACTTGAGACTTTCGCTTGGCTGTCGTCGTTGTGACGTCATTTATTGTTAATATATTTATTTAGTGTTTCAATATTGAAATGCTTAGTTGGGAAAGGTCAATAAATTTTAAGTTATGCCATATATTTCGTACTGTACAGTTTGAGTGTGAGGCGTGCGGTTTTCATTAGCAATTGCCGTTGTCGTTGCCGCTTCTGTTTTAGTCGTTATTGTTTTTGTTATTGTTGTTTTTGTTTTTGTTTTTGTTATAGATTTCAAATGATTAAAATCTTTTTTTTTTTTGTTTTTCACTTTTGAATAATAATAAATTATTCACTTTTTGTTATTTTTTTTTTACATTTTTAATTTAAATTTTTATTATTGTTTTTCTGTATCAAATTAGTTAGCAAGTGTGCCGTTGGGGTTAATTAAGTTCAATAATTTTGTTAAAATGCAAATTAATTTGTTAGCAAAACTATTAATTAGAAAAATGATGTTTAACTAAAAAGTTAGTCATACAATAATTTATGCAATAAATTGTTATTTAATATTGCAAATATAATGGATTGAATACAGGTTAAATTTTTTTGTGTTAATAAGAATAGTTCAGTCACCTTTACTTTGAATTATTTTTGATATAAATAAAATTTTTTAATAGAAATAAACAATAAGAGTAAAAAAAACAAATGAAATTAATTTTTTTCGGAATAGAATGGAAGTTAACAGAGTTCTGGTTTACCAGTGTAACATTGCGACAATAATATAACTTTCTAGATTCTATAAACAACTAGTCTTAACTGAGCAGCAGATATTCATTCTTTCGAACGAAGATCACAGTGTCTCTAGCTGAAGGTTTCCTTATAACAGATCGGGGACAGCAGCTTCGACCTGATATCATGCTTGGATATAGTCCTGATCGAACTCATATATTAATTAATAAATATATTAATAACTAAATTAGTTATTATAATTCTCGTCCTCTTCTAGTTAAGTACGACATTCTGTCACCCCACTGCGTCTTCCTATTCACTACGAACGTGGGAATTTATTTTAATAGAACATTTTATCGCAGTCCAAGTTTAATAGCAGTTCATTTTAATTTGTTTTATTTTTGTTTTTTACTTTATTTTAATTTGTTTAATTTTTTTTTGTACTATATTAAACTTTATTTTATATTGTCGCATATTATTTGGTTTTCTTTTTGTTTTATATTTTGTAATTATAATTATATGATTGTATTTACATTTATTTAATTCTGAATAATTTTATTCTATTTAATTTTATAATATTATGTGTTAGTTTGTTATATTTTATTTCATTATAATAATTTTTTTTATGTGATTATTTTCTATTTTATATTATTTTTTTAATTTAATTTAATTTTAATTAGTTGAATTTAGTTTAATTTAATTTAGGTTCATTTTATCTAATTTTATTTTATATAATTTTACTTTATTCGATTTTATTTAATTTTATTTTATTTTGTTTTATCTTTTTTCATTGTGATATATATTACAGATGAATAATGTATTAAATTTGTTACATAAAACAATTCATTGTCATTATAGTACATATTTTCAATATGTTTGATATAATTGTAAAATATTTGCGAGTATAGCAATTGGACTTAAAATACATGTATAGAAATCTGATATCTAATCAAAGAACTAATAAAATAAAAATTGAACTAAAACTATTAAACTAAAAACTAAAATTTGTCTTGTAAAAATGGTTTAAATATAAACTTTCCTAATAAAAACATCTTTCGGGTGGACATTTTTTGCAAGACTTTGTTTTTCATCATTATTTGAAGAAGCTTTATTCATTAGAGACAAACTAAATTGAGCTGATGGTTAAAATAAGCCAAAGAGAGTTTTTCCTATATTAATTAGGTCAGCAAACATGTTTATTGAGTACGATCGCGTTTAGTTGCCCTTGAATATAGATATATAGTCACAAAAACATGCTATATAATTTTTTTAAATACAACAATTTTTAGCTATGAATCCATATTAAGTTATAAATATAAATATATGAATGTACATATATATATGTTCACACATGTATTTATGTAAGCACAATGAAAACGAGATAAATGTGCCGCTTAATTTTAATTAAAAAATAATTTTATTTTCAGTTTTACACTGCGAATGCCGCAATTAAAAAAAAAAATCAGAAAAAGAATCATTTTAATGAAAATGCAAAATGGAAACAATAGATTTAAAATTAAAATTTTTTGCTGATTCTCATTCTGATTTCAATTCAAAAAATTTTTTTTTTGTTAAATATTTTACAGAAGTTATTAGCTACAATTAACTTTTTGCGATAATTAAGTGAGACGAGTGAGATATGCACCATATGAACATGTTGTTGACTGGCATTGGTACAGTACGGAGTTGGTTTATTTTAATTATGTTGATTAAAGTGCCTCATTATGAAGTGACGGCCTTGATTGAAAGCTGCAAATTCACATTAAAGTTAATAATAAGTTACATGATTTATAAATAAATACGAAGCAGAGCAGTAGTCTAACTTTAAAATTAAAATAACAAAATATTTTCAACAAATTAAACTGCGAAAAATAATTATTTCTAGAGTAATTATTGTGCGTACTGTACAAAACTGTGTTGGAATTTATTTTTATGCTGCCTTCTTGCTAGCAATTAAATGAGTTAATTACACAAATTAAGTAAATGATTAAAATATTTTAATATTATATGCATTTGATTAACTCAAAATGAAAATTGTATATTTTTTAATTAAAATTGTAGTACAAATTATGTGTGAAAATTGCTAAAGCTTAAAAAAGTGGACATATTTTATGATTTCTCTATACTGCATATATGCATTTTAATTTCGAACGTGTACTCACTACATAAACTGATTTAACATTGTAATTAATCATTGTTCACACTTGGTTTATTATTTCAATAGTTGGAAAATATAATCAGATTATAAATTTGCTAGATTAAATGCACTCGCCTGATGATAAAGGCACACATATAGGCAGGCAGGCAGGCAGGCAGGCAGCACATAAAGGCAACTGCATCTGCAATTGCAAATTGTTTTCACATAGATAGTATCCGTATCTGTTAACGAGTACGTTAAATGCGTTCTAATAATGTATGCACACTCATTGTCGAAGTCACTATCACAGTCTTAAGCCTTTAGTGCTAATGTGAAGCTATTATTAGTTTTGTGATTTTTTCCTTGTTCATATTTAATACTTCAAAGAAAATTTTATTGTATAACCAATGCAATACAATATTGCAAAGATACTTTTCACGAAACGTGCATAATTTTTTGCTTTTTGTGGTTTTTTTTTTTTTTGTAAAGAAAAATATCTACGTAATTTATTTTCAATTTTGTGAGTAATATTTTATTAAATATTAATTTTTTTTCTTTTATTTTTTTGATTTTTTTTTTAATACTCTAACGCTTTAATAATTGCGTTGCAAATATTTAATTCTATAATTGATTTTTTTTTAAAAATAAA